ACCAGAGTGATGGGAAGAGAAGAGTATGGAGAAGGAAAGGAACTGCTCATGATCCTAAGCATACCACCTCATCGGTGAAGCATGGTGGTGGTAGTGTCATGGCGTGGGCATGTATGGCTGCCAATGGAACTGGTTCTCTAGTATTTATTGATGATGTGACTGCTGACAAAAGCAGCAGGATGAATTCTGAAGTGTTTCGGGCAATATTATCTGCTCATATTCAGCCAAATGCTTCAGAACTCATTGGACGCCGCTTCACAGTGCAGATGGACAATGACCCAAAGCATACTGCAAAGGCAACCAAAGAGTTTTTTAAGGGAAAGAAGTGAAATGTTATGCAATGGCCAAGTCAATCACCTGACCTGAATCCGATTGAGCATGCATTTCACTTGCTGAAGAAAAAACTGAAGGGAAAATGCCCCAAGAACAAGCAGGAACTGAAGACCGTTGCAGTAGAGGCCTGGCAGAGCATCACCAGGGATGAAACCCAGCATCTGGTGATGTCTATGCGTTCCAGACTTCAGGCTGTAATTGACTGCAAAGGATTTGCAACCAAGTATTAAAAAGTGAAAGTTTGATTTATGATTATTATTCTGTCCCATTACTTTTGGTCCCTTGACAAGTGGGAGGCACATTTGCAAACTGTTGTAATTCCTACACCGTTCACCTGATTTGGATGTAAATACCCTCAAATTAAACCTGACAGTCTGCAGTTAAAGCACATCTTGTTTGTTTCATTTCAAATCCATTGTGGTGATGTATAGAGCCAAAAATGTTAGAATCGTGTCGATGTCCCAATATTTATGGACCTGACTGTATATATATATGTTTTTGCACATCCGTGCCGCCCTGTAGCAGTATTTCTGCTATAGGGTGGTTGTGAAGTGGTTAAAGGGGGTGTATGATATACAGTGGGGAAACTGTAATATGGGGAGGGGGAGTGTGACACAAAAGGGGGAATTGTAACATAAAGTGGGGGAAAATGTGACGTAAAGGGGGGGACTGTTATGTGAAAGGAGAGCTTGATGTGAAAGGGGGGGGGGGGGGGGGGGGGGGGTTGTGATGTGCAGGGAGGACTGAGAAAACTGAGATAAGAAGAGGACTCTGACATGAAGGATCTGAGTCGTCGCACAAACATGCAAATTGGGTCTCTGCTGGAAGAAAATGCTACTGACTGGACCTCAATACCTCTGATATAGTTAGGTACATATATATTTGGACACAGGCACAATATATATAATATTCTATAATGGATATGGGCTGAAAGTGCATAATTTGAGGGTATGTACATCCAAATTGGAAGAAGGGTTTAGGAATTACAACTCTTAAGAGTAGCCATCCCCCCTTTTTCAAGGAACCAAAAGTAATTGGACAATTGAATCAAAAGCTGTTTCATGGCCAGGTGTGGGCTACTCCATTATTTCTTTATCAAGGTAGGTAAAAGGTCTGCAGTTGATTCTAAGTGTGGTATTTGCATTTGGCATCTATTGCTGTCAACTTACATCATGCATTCAAAGTAGCTGTCTATGCAAGTGAAACAGGCCATTGTAAGGCTTCAAAAATGAAACAAATCCATCAGAGAGATAGCAGCCATATAGTGGCCAAATGAACAGTTTGGTACATTCTGAGGAAAGAACACATTGGTGAGCTCAGAACGCAAAAAGGCATGGATGTCCACGGAAGACAACAGTGTTGGATGATCACAGGATCCTCGCTATGGTAAAGAAAAATCCATTCACAACATCCAGACAAGGGAAGGACACTCTCCAGGAGGTGGGTGTAACATTGTCAAAGTCTACAATCAAGAGAAGACTTCACGATAGCAAATACAGAAGGTTCACCACAAGGTGCCAACCATTCATAAGCCTGAAGAATAGAAAAGCCAGATTAGACTTTGCCAAAAACAAATCTAAAAAAGCCAGAAAAGTTCTGGAAAAGCATTCTTTGGATGGATGAAACTAAGATTTATCTGTACCAGAATGATGGGAAGAAAAAAGTATGGAGAAAGCTTGGAACAGCTCATGATCCAAAGCACACAATGTTATCTGTAAAACATGGTGGAGGCAATGTGATGGTATGGGCATGCATGGCTTCCAGTGGCACTGGGTCATTGGTGTTTATTGATAATGTGAGAGAAGGCAGAAGCAGCCAGATGAATGCTGCAGTGTTTGTATGCACATATGGATGTATATACCATCAAATTAAACCTGTGAGTGTGCACTTTCAGCCCATATCTATTATATAACTAGAGTGCATCCAGAAAGTATTCATATCGCTTTTGCCACATTTTGTTATGTTAGAGCCTTATTCCAAAAAGGATTAAATAAATAAAAAAAAACCAAAAAAACACATGTACATAAGTTTTCACAACCTTTGCCATGCCACTTAAAATTGAGCTCTGCTACATCCTGTTCCCACTGATCATCCTTGAGATGTTTCCACAACTTGATTGGAGTCCGCCTGTGGGAAATTCAGTTGATTGGACATGATTAGGAAAGGCGTAAACCTGTCTATATAAGGGTTCCACAGCTAACAATACATGTCAGAGCACAAACCAAACCATGAAGTCTAAGGAATTGGCCGTAGACCTCCGAGACAGGATTGTATCAATGCACAAATCTGGGGAAGGGCACAGAAAAATGTCTGCAGCATTGAAGGTCCCAAGAAGTTTGGAACCACCAGGCATCTTCCTAGAGCGGGCCGCCCAGCAAAATTGAGCAATCGAGGGAGAACGGCGTTAGCCAGGGAGGTAACCAAGCACCCGATGGTCACTCTGAAAGAGCTCCAGTGTTTCTCTGTGGAGAGAGGAGAATCTTCCAGAAGAACAACCCTCTCTGCAGCACTCCACCAATCAGGTCTGTATAGTAGAGTGGCCAGAAGAAGCCACTCCTCAGTAAAAGGCAAATGGCAGCCTGGCTGGAGTTTGCCAAAAGGCACCTGAGGGACTCTGACCATGAGAAACAAAAATCTCTGGTCTGATGAAACAAAGATTGAACTCTTTGGCCTGAATGCAAAGTGTCATGGCTGGAGGAAACCAGGCACTGCTCACCCATCTGGCCAATACCATCCCTACAGTGAAGCATGGTGGTGGCAGCATCATGCTGTGGGAATGTTTTTCAGTGGCAGGAACTGGGAGACTAGTCAGGATCGAAAGAAAGACGAATGCAGCAATGAACAGGGACGTCCTTTATGAAAACCTGTTCCAGAGCGCTCTGGACCTTAGACTGGGTCGACGGTTCATCTTTCAACATGACAACGACCCTAAGCACACTGTGAATGTCCTCGAGTGGCCCAGCCAGAGCCTAGACTTGAACACGAATGAACATCTCTGGAGAGATCTGAAAATGGCTGTGCACCGACGCTCACCATCCAACCCGATAGAGCTTGAGAGGCACTGCAGAGAACAGGAGAAATTGCCCAAAAATAGGTGAGCCAAGCTTGTAGCATCATACTCAAAACGACTTGAGGCTGTAATTGGTGCTAAAGGTGCTTCAACAAAGTATTGAGTAAAAGGCTGGGAATACTTATGTACATGTGATTTTTTTTTATTTTTAATAAATTGCAAAGATTTCAAAATTAACTTCTTTCACATTGTCATGGTGGAATATTGTTTGGAGAATGTTGTAGAAAAAAAATAATTTAATCCATTTAGGAATAAGGCTGTAACACAAAATGTGGCAAAAGATAAGCTCTGCAAATACTTTCTGGATGCACTGTATGGCTTGTTTTGGTAAATACCTGAAAAAAACTAAAATTGTGCCTGTATCCAAATATATACGGACATTACTATATATATCACAATTTGCAGACACTATAACCTTCACACAAACCAATTATTATCCACTTATTGGGATTTTTTTAACCAAAGACATGTAGCAGAATACATTTTGGCTTAAATTTATGAAGAAATTTTATTGGATATGTTTTATAGTAGAAAGTAGAAAATAAAAAACCCCATTGGTGATTAAATACCTCCAAAAGAAAGCTCTATTTGTAAAAAAAAAAAAAAATTTTTTTTATACATTTCGTTTGCATACAGTGTTGCATGACCACACAATTGCAAGTTACAGTAGCCCAGTGCTGAATAGCAAATCATGTCCTGGTTATAAAGGAGGGTAAAACATTCCGGAGGTCAAGTGGTTAATGCTCCACCACTCCATCCAAAATGATATCAAAGTTCTGGCTTTAGATATACTTCAAGCTTGGTTCACACTCATTTTCTGCGTTTGCTTTCTCCAGTTTGTTTTGTGTTTATCTACATGCAATTTTGACACATTTTTACCACGTTTTGTTCAGCTATTTGTGTGGTTAAATTTTTTTTTTTTGTTGCTGGGCAGAATAAAAATGCAAACTGTGGCAAAAACACACTACCATGCATTTCAGCAGCTTCTCCACTGAACTCCAGTGTGGCAAAAACACTGCCTTTTGCTTTTAGAAAAAGTCCCTGACCTTTTCCAAAGATGCAGCAGCTCAAAAACTACATGTTAATGGACTGTAGTGCGTTTCTGTGAAAAGCACTAAGAAAATGCATTAGAGTGAACGGAGAAGATATAGACTTCCGGTTCTGAGAGAAGCTCTTCAGCAGAGGTGAAGGCTCACAGGAAGTGCGGGCCCTCCTGCCTCAAGGGTCAGGTAGTGTAGAGTTGTGTAACACAATGACCTCTTCTGCCAGGCACGGTTGACTCAGCATTTACTGTTAGGAAAACTTTTTGTTTGCCATACACCGCCTGCATTCGCTGATAAGGCATTATTCTAAGCATAGACACTGTCTGGTATGAACAGCGACACACGTACAGGTTATGTTTGTGTCACACACGTTTGAGGCAAAGAGTGCGTTTATTACGGAAGAGAATGTAATTCCTCCCTACCACACATAGGAGAGCTCATGAACCGGAAAAATGAAGGTGACATCAGAGCGGTGGGCGCGGCCGGGAGGTGTCATGTGACTGTGCTGAGTGTTGCAGTCGGTGTGCTAGGAGTAGACGAGCTGAGCGGAGACTATGGAGCGCTGTGCGTGCTATGTGACGCTGTGCCTGCTGGGCCTCGGTAAGTGGGTGTCGGTCGGTGCAGGCCTGCCGGAGGGTGATAGCCTACTACATATGGCCCTCTGGGCTGACTTTCCTCGGGGAAGTGGCTGATGGGGAGAGGACGCTGTGCTCATAGTAATGGGATCCTGAGGAGGGGGGTGATCACAGAAGAGACCATGCCATTAGAAAACAATGGACAGCCCTTCCATTGTTACCAGTCTCAGGGTCACATGACCAGGCTGGGGAACAATACTGTCAGGGAGACTTGTGATCCCAGAGTCATTACACTGCATTGTGTGTCCATAACATACACTTTTTGTTTAGGAATGAGTAGGGAAGTGTTGGACCCCCTGTCTGCTCTTATGGTTGGAAGTAGAAGAAAGGTGAGGGGTGCCGGATCTCTCCATGTACAACTAGAGGGAAAACTTTTCCATTTTGGATAGAGGCTTGTAACCCTTATCAGATTTAGTTTTTTCTGTCTGTGTCCCATTGGGGAGATTTCCCTTCAGTTCCTGTCCCTTAGCCAAAACAGGAAGTGAGAGGAAATCCCTCCAAAGTGAAGCAATCCTGGGGGTGTTACCAGAACTAGTGTCCCCGTTAGGTTTTCCTTCTTTTTATGCCTTGTTTAACCACTTGCCCTCTAGAGGATTTACCACCCTTCCTGACCAGGCCATTTTTTGCATTCCGGCACTGACAATTGTGCAGTCATGCAACGCTGCACCCAAATTAAATTTGTCCCCCCTCCCCCACGAATCAAGCTTTTTTTTGGTGGTGTTTGATCGCCTGTGCGTTTATTTTTTGCGCTATAAAAACCCCCTGACGATTTTGAAAAATATATATATTTTATTTTTTTGCTATTACCACTAGCCTACAGGGCACTTATACCCCCTTCCTTCCCTCCCAGGCCAATTTCCAGCTTTCAGCGCTGTCACACTTTGAATGACAATTGTGCGGTCAAACAACACTGTACCCATATGAAATTTTTATCATTTTTTTGTGACAGAGCTTTGTTTTGGTGGTATTTAATCACCTCTGGGTTTTTATTTTTTCTTAAACAAACCAACCACTGAAAATTTTGAAAAAAGTTTTTTTTCTTAGTTTTTGTTATAAAATTTTGTAAATAAGTGATTTTTCTCCTTCACTGATGTGCGCTAATGAGGCTGCAGTGATGGGCACTGATAGGTGGCACTGATGAGGAGGCACTGGTAGGTGGCACTGATGGGCACTGACTGGCGGCACTGACTGGCACTGGTGGGTGACACTAAAAGGCAGCTCCAATGGGCACTGATATGTGGCATTGATGTGCACTGGTAGGCACTGATATGTGGCACGGATGGGCACTGGCAGGTGGCATGGATGAGCACTGAGAGCTGGCACTGATGGACACTGACAGGTGGCACTGCTGGGGCTACACAAATCATCAGGGCACACTGATCATCCGTGCCCTGATGATCAGTGTACATGTCCCCTCTGAGGGATGCCGATTACCGGCTCTCCTCTCGAGCTGTCAGCGTGACAGCTCGTGAGGAGAGAAATGTCGATAACTGGCATTTCCCTATTTACATGTGATCAGCTGTGATTGGACACAGCTGATCACATGACCGAGCCGACATTTTTGGCTCTTTCCGTGGATCAGTGATCCGCTGTGTCCGAGGGACTCAGCACACCATCGATCGGCGCGCTTAGAATGGAACAACGTCATATGACTTTCTCCAAGAATCAGAGAACCCCCTTGCCCCCGTCATTGTACTATATGGCGGGCAGGGGGTGGTTAAACATGTTCAGTAAAAAAAATAAAAATAAAATTTCGTCATAAATGTATGCCAAAATGTATTCTGCTACATGTCTTTTGCTAAAAAAAAAATCCCGATTTGTGTAAATTAATTGGTTTACGTGAAAGTTATAGCATTTACAAATTCCAGTATAGATACTGGGATTTTTTTTTTAATTATTTTTACTAGTAATGGTGGTGATCAGCGACTTATAGCGGGACTGCAGTGGAAATTCTGACACTGGGGGGAACAGACTTGGTGTCACTGGCAATCAAAGGGTTAACTGTGTGCTGGGTGTGTTTTTACTATGGGTTGGTGTCTTGTGTGTTTAACTGTAAGCACACTGCTTTGGATGGCTGTCCTGTGCACAGCCATCCAAAGCAATGTGCCCGAGCTGACAGGGAGGAGAACTGTTAGTAAACAAAACAATTCTCCTGCCCATCAGAGATCCTCGGTAATCACAGGGTTCTGGCGAGTAATCACCGGCCGGGACCCGATGATTGACAGTCGTGGCTATGAATGGCAGCGTGGGTAGGGTGTGCGCACCTTCCTGCTACTCCAGAAGCAACAAGGGGAGCAGTTGAGAGGTGGTAAAAACAGGGTTTAGCCATGGGGTTTTACTGCCCCTCAATCACAAGTGTAACCAAGGCCTTGATGTTCTGGTGACGACCCAAAATTTGGGGTTTCCTTTTCTATTCACTCTCTGTGATAACCTTAAACAGGACGCATAGAGAGGGTGAATCTCCCTAACGGACACAGCAATAAAAACTGGATGGTATTCTAATCCCTCCCCACTCTATCCAAAATTGAAAAAATGCTTTTAGTCTTGATTTAAAGCGGTAAGTGTTGTTCACTTCTTCAATCAGCTTTATTAAAAAGTATGAGGAAAGAAAAAACAGAGGGTGCACAGGCCTAGTGCATTACCATAAAAAATGTTTAATAAAAAATAAAATGTGTTGTACTCACAAACGACAATATAGTCAAGGCACATCATAAACAACAGCTGGGTCAACACTGCGCTGAGTAACAGTCCGCAATGGGGGGTATAGACATCCAAAAGGCTGACGCGTTTCGAGGACTTGCCTCTTCCTCAGAGTTGTGTTTGCTGGTTCTTTATTAAAAAGTATGTGTTATACTCACAAAAGTGCTTGGGAAAAGCTGAGAGAACCTACAACTCATTGACGGTAAGGCTGTGAGGAAGAGGGTTTGCCATGGAAATGCTTAGGTTCTACAGTTGTTTGCAGTAGTGATTCTGTTTTATGAATGGGATTGACGGTTGGTCATCTGTATCCATTGGATAAACAATTCCCAGCTTGGATTTTATGCTCTACGAGTTTGTGACACTCATTTGTGATTTTAACATATTTGTAATTTGTGTATTGAAGATGATACCACGTTATTTTTAGTGTTGTATAAGGATTTCCCAGTCTGAAGAAAGCTGCAAGGCCATAGATCTCTTATTCAGTATTGTTATGGGAACACTAGAATGACTTTGGGATGGAAGTAATTTGTCAGGCTGTATCCTGTCAACACTTGGCTGCACTGACATTGTATTCATTTGTAGTAGATGTTTTTAGGCAGCATTTAAACAGAATGAAAGTCACTAAATTGTTGCTCTTTGGTAATGGTCTGGTTCCTTGCTGGCATGTTCTTTCCAGGTGCTGGTTTTCAGGTCTCCCCATTGGCTGGCGTGGGATAACGTAACTCAGTCATCCTGGCACATGGGGATTGTGTTGGTGATTGTAAGCTGAACTGCACATGCGCAGCACGGTTTACATGCTACAGAAAACTATGAGAAGGCAGGTAGGTGTATTTTATTGAATAAGAGACCTTGCATGTCTCTACTGTGATAAATTGTCTGCCAGCTTCCAGTCTTCTGTCAAACGCATTCAGTTCTGCTAAGAGGTTCGTTCACACAGATGCTCAGCCCCATGCAACAGCCAGAGCAGTTGGTTTACTTTTTTTTTTTTTTTCTCTGTCTCTTCGCTGTGCTGAGTTTGACAGTGTGCAGGGGCAGGAGCACAGAGTTAGATGCACAGACTCTGGGTGAGCATACCTGTCAAACTCCGCTGTGCAGGTGACTCCGTACAGCCAGTACTTCCTATGAGCTGCCAGTACAGAGCACAGCAGTGAAAATTAAAATAGCTCTGTTCTATCCTTGTAAATGAGTCCAAAAGCATATATTATTTCTTGCAAAAATGAATAAATGCACCCACATTTGAAAAAAAAAAGCGCATTAATTTTTTGTGCCGGAGCCTGCAAAGCATTGCAATCATGACCAGTGGGTTGCAGGTACAAGGCACAGGCTCCTGCAGATCACGTATTCATCCACAGGGCAGTAGCAAGGTACAGACCTAAAGTTATGGGGGCTGAAGGAAGTGTCAGTGGACTACAAGTGTGATGATATTGTGGCACTTGTTCCCCAATGAGATCTAAAAATCCGTCTGCCACAGTGGTAGATGCGAGTTTTAGTATCTCTGTTCACAGGTCTAAATAGATGATGTAGTTCTGCAGACAGTTAAACAGCCTCGCTGAATTTAAATAAAAATAACTGGAGCCTGCGTGGAGAAAAACTGGATTCATTAAGGGGCAAGGGTGGTTTGGGGGGTGGGGACCTGTGAACTGTCTGTTTCTTTATAACACTATAAATGTGGGTGTAACTTGAAACATGGTCAGAAAGGTGGACATAGCCTTTGACATGTCCGGCCTATAAAGCAGATTGACGGCTGAGTGGGACATTCTTCCTTCTGAATGGGCATCCTATGATGTCCTCTCAGAAGGTGTTGCTCCTGAGGCTGCTCTATTTGTGTGAAAAAAAGATAAAAATTTCATATAAATCACAATTGTTTTTCAAAGTGCGACAGCACTGAAAGGTGAAAATTGTCCTGGGTAGGAAGGGGGTAAAAGTACCCGGTATGGAAGTGGTTAAGCAGTGTGGAGGGAAGGATTACCCTTAGACAGCTCTTCCAGGAGTGGTGGCCAAAGGTCAGCTCTTTGCTTAAGTAGGGACTGGGTGTGCAAGGACGAAAGCGTCCAAAGCAACATATTTAAAGCCATTTTTAACCCAAACACAAACCTTTACTATATTGCAGCTTACTAATTCTTAGATGTGTTGGCTGCATTTGTTTTTTGTTTTTTTTTTTTTTTTTAGGTTTTCTTTCCTTTTTCATCTGGTGGTCCAGCTAGTAAGTCTGTTCTTTTTAAAAGCTTTGTCCCTTTGTCTTCAGGACAGCCTGTGAGATATTTG